AATTATGCGCAGTAAGGATGCGCAATGTAAATGTGAGGAATGACCTTAAATACTTTTCTACTCTGGCATTCTCATCCCCATAGCCCCTTTGTTTGTCTTGACCGGCGGGACCTTGACACGAGAAACGACGGACCCTTGGTTTCTAGTGCCAAGACCCCGCCGCCTAAGAGAAGCGAAAAGGGCTATGGGGACGAGAATGGGTGGCCTAATGCATGAGACAATCACGTGCTGCAATCTGCGATGGACTTCCATCCCATCCAGGGAACAAAATAGTTCCCAAGGCTCTTCCCATGGAAAGCAGAAATGTCCTGGGAACGAGGTCGATTCAAGGAGGAGCAAAAATTCTCCTGCTTTTTCGGTTCCAGTGGGCTTCTTTCCCTAACGGCGGCTGATAATCGAGTCTACTCATTGGCATCTTACAGAAAACGGGACTGAGCTACGGCGGAATGGACTACTCAGCCCAACACAGATCGACTAGATAGGTAAAGTAAGTTTTTAGGGGGGGCGCTACAAAGTTATGGTTACCGACTTACTACCTTTTGAGGTTTCAACCATTTTTTCCAATGTTAGACCATGTTAATGTGAGCTATTGCAATTGCACCCCCGCCCCTAGTCATTTGCGTCTTATTGTTAGGGGGCTGAACAAACTTTTGCCAAGTTAGATTATCATTTGTCGAGTTCTTAGCGCGGAACATGAGTCTTCGTAGCGCGGAGCTTGAGGACTTTCAGAACTGAAGTCTATCGCAGGTTTGTCCGTGGTGGCATTAAAACAAGGCAGGACCTGGGAGCTCCTGGGATCAGAACGAAACCTGTGATCGTAAGCAGCCGTAAACTGTTTAAGTTTCATAGCAGGATAAGGGTCTGGATAGAGCTTTAAATTAGACAGCAGACAAATGCCCTTAATTAATTATAACTGACCAGTAGTACCATTACAAATGTAAATGAAACTGCCAACCGACATTTGTGTACCTCATCTTACTAGCCCTCGTTTTCTATTAGCGTTAGTAAACTCGGCTGGATTCGTAGTCTTTTTTACTTGCTCGTAATCTTGGGCCCCTAGACTAATTGTTAAATACGCGATAAAAATATACCTTCGCGTGGCAGCCTGAATTTTTTGCCGTTTCCCGGCTCAAAAGCGGCCCTGTGAACAGCCTCTGTGCCTATATATAAGTCAAAACCAACAACTTGCAGCAAGTCTGTTAGATTGAGTAAACTGGATCAGCTGATTTAGAGTGCTGACCGGAAAGACTAGATTCTTTCAAGGGGACCTGAATCAAATACACTTAGTGTTATTTGACCAGGGAGATGAAGAGAGCATGGACCGCCCTTAAGTTACGATTTAATAAATAGCTAAATGCTAGAAAACATCGGCTGTTTAAATATAGTGAATTTACTGAATACACAGAGCAAGAATATTTGATACATTCGACTTGATTAATTTTCGCTTGCCCTTCAAAAGCTACAGCGCACGCTGCCACATTTTAACTCTGGGCAAAACGACGGATCTTTCATACACAGTTATAGAGCCAGCAAAAATAGACAGAATGAAAAATTTATGATTATGAACAACTGTAAAAATAGGCAAGTTCAAGTCATTCGTTGCCCTGTCGACAGTTAACTACTGCTAGCTCAAGCGGGCCAATGTTTGTTTTGGTCAACAATTGTAGAATTTAGATTCTTGTATACGTTCACCCCTCAAAGTGTTTCTTTTTGTACTTTTCGTGCAGCAAATGTAAACTTAATCAGAAAAATGTTAATAGAATTTTGGTGACGTGATAAAAATCGAGTAAGGAATTATATCGAGGAGCATGAAATTTATAACCGATTCAAGACACTTTGCGATTCCTTATAATTAGAGCACAGTAGTTGTAAACGCCATTTTTGTCAGTTGTCGAAGAGCAGCCAAGCAACTGGCGCCTGAATAATCATGAGAAATGGTGAATGCTGAAAGAACAAGTCTGGGTTGGCATACTACGCGAGAGAGATTCGAAGCGAAATAATCGCTACATTTGCTTCAACGTCAGAGTACGTCGTGAGCCGATAAACGCAAAAAAGTGTTTTGAACATATATTTTAAAAAGCAGCTTTAGGTTTAGAAAAGGGCGGACAGCTGACGGACGCCAGCCAATCAAATGCTATTGAAGGGCTAATTATGATTATGTATTATGGTTCACATGCAGCGCGGCCACGTTCAATTCACTACTAGTACACAAAGCCGGGCACCAGGTTCGGGGGGCTCACGTTTATCTCACGTTGAAACACACGGAGCTCCGTCGAATCCGCCGCCGGTAGGTTTTAATGCTCTTAAGCCCTATAAGCCAGCGTCTCCGACTGTAGCCAACACGAAACAGCTGTTACTGGTCATATGCAGTAAGTAGTTTTATTTGACACGTCTTGAGGCTCTCTTAGTTGATAAATTGCACTATTTTATCGTAAATCGTAAGCCGTGAAAGATGCTTGAGTAGTTTGTAATGATCTAGTGTTAAACATAAACGTTGGCTACATGTTTCACTACCAAGTATATGCATATGTGATATTCATATAAATGGTTTATGTAGTTGTTCAAATGCTAGTCTTTTGGAAATGTCAATAACAAATAAACAAATGAAACTTTGTATCACAAGAACTCAATTTAGAATTCCCGGCTCAATAAAACGAGGTTTCTAAAAAAAATTGGGACTTGGGGTGCGGATAAAACAGGCTTAAATTCACTCATCATTCGAAGACAGGCTTTCCTTTGCTACGATTGTGAAATGCGGCAAAATTCTTGATGTCAACTGAAATTGCAGTTTAAATTCAAATCTGTTATGTGTATGCGCCATTCTTTTGCGGGGAGGAAAGTTGCCGGGGCAACTGACAATTTGTGTTCATCTTCAAAGACGTCTGTAGAAACTTTAAAACTCGGCTTTTCTCTAAATAAAATGACTTTTCACCCGGATATCTGGAGGAAAGAAGTGTTAGGAACTGCGCCACAAGTTTACAGTGAGGCTTTCCAGGTGTAGTCGCAGTGGACGTTATAACTGTTAAGTTTTTTTTTAATTTGCGTGGGTTTCTTGAAACTTGACACTGTCTTTAGAGAACCTCAGTTATCCTGTGGCTTCTACAATGCAAAGTCTTACAATTGTGAAATTCATTTAGATGCAGTCAGGCATTTTCTCTCGGGTCAGTTTAATAGGGATTCAGTAGGATGTTTGATCTGCAAAGCACCCTGCTAATTTATAATCTATATCTAATAACAAGAGGAGATGAAGGGTGAGAAAGTTTGTCTCCAACATACGCCTTGGTAAACCCTCTCGAGTTATTTTTAGACACAGTACCCAGTTCTTCCGCGGATAATGTTACCGCGCGCCTTAGATGTTTTCGTGAAGGATAAAATTGAGGGTAAATCCGGTTGGGCTGTCCATGTGAGTAAATTGGGAGCCTCGGGATCGTCTGCATGATTTCTAAACCCATCTGAGATTTTTGAGGCTGGGTGGGAGTGACTGATCTAGACATGACCTAGGAGGGATTACCTAAGGCGAGGCTCAACAATTACCACCATTGTCTCTTAGCTATATGTGAGGCGGCGTGTAGGCATGTTTCCTAACTGTATTTATGCATATATTACAATCATGATGGAAACTAGATATTTTTCAGATTGTATGCTTTCTTAGTATCCAACAGTGGTCCTTCTGCAGAATCCTTTTGATTGTATTGAAAGATCAACAACAGATTTCGTGGTGTTCCGCTACTCGCTTAGATTTGGTCGTCGCAGTAAAATCATTTCCATGAAAATCGAAATGTTCATATGAAACAGCTTGCTGCTTTATTAGATACATACAAGGCGATTTTTATGCCTGTTTCCTAATTAGATTCACTAATTTATTTGCTAATCCGTTTTGGTTTTGTAAAGTGCCCTCTTCAATGGATAATCAGCAAAAATAAAAACCCCAAAAGCACACAAAAAACATGAAAGATAACGATTACAACAACAACAAACCCCTTTCAGGTTCATGGTTCGATCGAGTGTTCACACTCAATTCTGTTACAGTGAAAAAAAAGCTTTTTAATGGATTTTTAAAAACTGTAAAAGTGGAAGTCCTCTTAATTTATTCTTTCGAGGCTCAAAATCCTCAATGAACATTTTGGCTTTGAAACGGTCGAAACAAAAACAACAACAAAAACAATGAAAACAAAAGCTAAATGACCTTTACGCCCCCAGCTTGCTCCTGCAAATAAGGATGACAAGTGTTAATTAGTTACATTTCCCCGGCTGATTTCTGATTGCTGGACTCAAACTGACACTGAAACTTCACAATTTGGCCATCAGTCACGTGACTGTTCATTGTCAAAGTGTCTCCTCCGGCCACCTCAGTGCAGAACACCCAGCCACTTCAAAGCTGTACCCCTAAAAAACAATGCATGTGTTTAGGCTGTGGCAGTATGTGGCTACGGTGGCTACGTGATGTTACGTGGCTACGCGGAAACGTGATGTTACGTGGCTACGTGTAAACGTGATGTTACGTGGTTACACACCTACGTGATGTGACGCGGCTACTACGTGGCAGGCTACGCCGTCAGGTGGGAACGTTTCACTTCAAACGAATCACTGATCTGAAAAGTATGACTTGTCTGCACACGTTTATAGAACCGAGGTATACATTGCATGGGTTGTTTTTGTTTAGTTTGCGTGCGTAGAGTTATTTTCACTCAGTGTACAGGCGATTCGCTTAGCCACGTAGCCGTGTAACCACCGTTTAATTTTTACGCAAAACACGATGGCAATGGCAAGTGAATTAATGAAGAGAACAATGGATCTGCCCTGCATTATGCACCTTTTTACATTTCGTTTCTGCTCAAATCAACGGCGTGAAATGATCAGTTTCCAAGTTTTTTTGGAGAACGTTAACTTAACTACTACTGCTAATTTTTTGTAATTCTACAAGTGAAACCCTCCTTTACTTATTCGGAAGGGGAAAGTTTTTATACCGACAGATATACTGAATACACCTAGATAACTGTGAAATTCTGAAGTAAAATATGGAACAAATGTAAAATTGCACTCTAACAGGACTATTAAACCGAAATTGTTGTTCCCCAAAGCCCTGAAAGTTCTAAAATGGAGTGAATAAGAGCTGGGAGCGTCTTTGACAGGCAATCGGGCGTTTCGCCCGATATGTCAGTTCGCCTGGCCGTAAAAGAGTCAAACGTCCCTTCGCCCGAACTGAAAGTTCGACGAAGACGGATGATTTTTGTTTTGTTTTGTTTTGTTTTGTTTTAACTAAATGACCGAAAAAGACAACATTGTGGGCATAATGAAACAAAATTACACGAAACATGCCTATCCATTGACCACGGGGCTAACAGCCCGGGCGAACCGACTATCCCATATATCGAGTACGGGCGAACTGGATTCGGGCGGACTGAGTGACTGACCTTGATGGTACTCTGGGAGAGGGGAGGTTGCATCGAATGGCTGAGTAGCCGCTCATCGCCGCACATGTGACTCAAAATTAGCATCTAGCGAAATGAAATGGATGGGATTTTGAGACTGTTTTTTCATGAATATGGTTTGCGTGATTCTCAGTGCCGTTCCAGTCTAAATCTCGAATGCATTGCCTCCGTTGTTGTTTGATCGGAGGAGGTATAAAATGCGCCAGGTGTTGACCGAAGTTTGACGAAAACTTTCACAAAGTTTAATCGTGTGAAATGTTACATATTGCTTCACGTGCAACCAAATATCTCGAAAAAGCCGGCCCTCAGCTTCGGCTTAACAACAGATAGTATCCTCCTGGAATGTCAACAAAAACTGTTATACACTGCAAGAAAGTCCAAACTTAACACGGACTTTGTTTTATCGTTCTACTTGATCTGTTTCTTGGATTACACAGGAATGCCTGGCAGGGAAAATGGAAAAAGCCGATATTTCATTTACGATTTATCAACCGCTTTGGAGGAACTTCGTTTCACCAGAGCGTTTGGACCGGGGATTTTGGCGGCCTTATTCTACGGAGTTATCTCAGGATCTATGTCGTTTGTTAACAAGGTAGGGAAAGGTTCGTTTGCTCTAAGATAAAGACACTATAACCATAAGCTTAATGTTAGAACGTCATGCAAGTGTTGTATATTTTGCGGCAGATTTAATTTTAGTCGACTAGTTAAGCTTTTAATTATAACTGATCGCGGACACGTCACCATTCATATTTTATGCCAGTTTTATAAAACTGTGTTCCCCTTTCCTTTGCTGCATGCAAATTGAGATATTGTCAACAGAAACTCTTGAAAGACTTCACATTTTTACATAAACAGAGTTGTAAGAGACTGTTGCCGGTGTCGTTGTTAAGTTGGTCTCTGGAGGCGGGAATATTCTAGAAACATGTCTCAAACAAACACACAAGGCAAAATCAACCAAACCCGAAATCCATTCCACTTATGTTCTTTGAGCTAGTGTTTTGCGACAGCGAGGAGTCTAAAGTTCTGGAGAAGCACCACTAATTTACAAATGTTCATTCTTCAGCAAGCATCATCTGGTTATGTGGCAGGCGGAAAATTTGGAGAGCATAAGTAGACCAATTTCGAAACGTTAAAATTCAGCCAAGTACAATATACCTCAGCACAAGGGCTTCAGGGAATAAACCCCACAAACTCTGTAGTTATTCCCTGTATTCTTGTGCTGAGGTCTTTTGTTTTTGGCTGAATTCTAATTAATCGAAATTGTTCTGTTAATTTCTTCTTTCTTTCTTTTCTTTTTATTCATATGCTGCCAATACACATGTAGAACTTGAATCGTATGGGGAGCTAAGAAAAAAAGGCAGCCGGTCAATTTTAGCTCTCAAGCTCAAACTGTAATATTATTACAATATGAGATAGAATCAACATAATAGATTGCATGTTGCTGTGTATCTGTTCAGCATCTATGCCAACTCTCCCGCATTATTCGTGAGTCGCCGAACTCAGACCAAATCTCCTGGTCTCCCATATGGATCACAAATCCCCCAGGCAATGTGAAGAAAAGCCCATAAAATGCATTTTCAGACATATTTTGGCCGACTTTTGGCATTTTCATGTCTGCGATACTGGTGCAGCGCTCAACCAACGGAGCTATCAAGCCAAATGGGAGCTGGTCACATTGTGAGTGACCACAATGTGACCAGCTCCCAGTTGGCTTATAGCTCAGTTGGTGGAGCACTGCACCAGTATTGCAGAGGTCATGGGTTTGAACCCTGTTCAAGCCTGAATTCTTTTCAGACTTTAATTTTAAGTTGTTTATATAACTGCAATGATCATTGATGTTTTTAAATCTTTCTCCGTGGTTCAAATAGATAATCTTTCATGTATTCATTTGCATTTTGGCATTTTTGTTGGAAACATTATACTGTAAATCCTTGAATTAGCGCCCCGCCCCCTCGAATAAGCGCCCCCTTCAAATAAGCGCCCCTTCTATCGGCCAAAATTTAAAATAAATGCCCCCCTCCCCTCATTTTGTGGATGAGTAATAAGGCAACAAAGGATGTATAGTTTTCGTTGTGTAGTGTTAGATTTGTGCATTGTTTCAGTTTGTGAACAGTTTAAGTTTGGAAAAAATTACACGTACTAACGGTGGCGCAATTTAAGTTTAGGATCAGCTTTTTATGTCGATATACAGCTTATGTTGTGGTTTATGTGCAGATGATGTATTTAAAAAATGATCATGTCAGGCGATGATTTCGAAAAAATTAAAGAAGGGTCCCCCTCGATTAAGCACTCCCCTTGAATAAGCACCCCCTGTCTTCTCCTAAATTTGAAATAAGTGCCCCAGGTGCTAATTTGAGGATTTACGGTACTTTGTTTACAGTTGATGCATTTTTTTTGGTTGAATTGGCAGCGCTCTACTTTGAACAACTTTTTGTAGTGCCAATGAGGTAAACTGGCAATCTCCTGGATTTTGATTTTTTTTTTTTAGCTTGGTATTCTGGTTCAGTAATTGATAACAGATGATGTCAAAATGCGGTAAGAACAAAAAGGTAGTGAATGAGTGAATAGCTGAGTTTGCCACTGATGTTCTTACCACATTTTGACATCTTCTGTGATCTATTACTGAACAGATGCACGACAACATGGAATCTATCAGGTTTATAAAATAAAGTAACAAAAACAAATGTTAATGATGTTATCTATATGTCTGTTTTCCAATTGATCATAAGTAAGAACCTTTCAAAATGCAAGAATAATTTTATGACTTATCATACAACAGTTGCTTGATAAATACAATTTTGAAGACGACCACTGGAAGATGACTGCTTGCACATGAGTGATCATCTTCTGTGGTGAATTTGCATAGCCCACTTTACTCACATTTGCTCACATGTGAGCAAACTACACAATCAACTATTACAACAATAAACAAATGAGTAAAAAAATTAGTCAATAAATAAATTGCCCTGAAGTACAGTGGGTATACAAGAAAATTTAATGTTCGGGATAACCCTGTGTTGGACAAATATCCCATCCAGGGGGGAGTAGAAATACTCTTAGTCACTTCAAGCTATATAAATCCGCAGAATCTATAGCCTGCTTTGTGAGCCACCCTGGTAGGCATGGTGGCCTCATTGTTAGTGCGCTTGCCTCCTGTTTGAGTGGTTCGGGTTCAAGTGCTGGTCATGGACAATGTATTGTGTTCTTGGGCAATCTGACACTTAACTCTCACAGTACCTCTCTACACCCAGATGCATAAATGGGTACTGGTGAATTCAATGCTGGGGTAACCCTGTGATGGACGAGCGTCCCATCCAGGGGGGAGAAGAAATACCACCAGTTGCTTCATGCTACAGAAACCGGAGATAAGCACTGGCCTGATGGGCCACTTGGCTCGTACGTAGACTTTACCTACCTTTACCTTATAAGTCACTATAGGTTTGAAGGCAGAATTTATCTAGATACTTAACATTTTCTTGCTCTTTACTACTGTATCCTTTGCTATTATCATGATTAAATGTTCATGATAACGACTCCTTTATTATGATTAATGATAAATTAAGCAATTGTGAATTTATTTTCAGATTGTTTTGACTTCCTACACATTTCACTTTCCTAATGCTCTGATGTTAGCACAAGTGATCATGTTGTCTGTACTTCTTGAAGCTGGAAGACTTTTAGGATATTCCAGTATGCCAAAGTACACTTTAGAGAGGTAGATCTTAGCATTTTATTTGCATTTTTTAATGATATCGATTACATTTTTATTCTTTTTTATGATTGGTTCTCAGGACTTACACATTACTTTATTTTGTATGTCCGTAAATTACAGTGTGCTTATGTCATCCCTTGTAGGATAGACATTATTTCAGACAAAGAAAAATTATATTTCATGTTGACATATCAATACAGACATCCCTGAAGTATCTTGCTAGTAAAGTATTGGCTGATGAATCTGAGTTACAGACACTGCGCTCAAATTCATCATCATCATCATCATCATTTATTTAGTAATGCAGGTTACAAAATTGGCATCATAGCTGAGCTGTATTCTGTGAACTGAGTTCCTGTAGTAAACTCCCATGAAATTAGTAACCTTCCAAAAGCAGTTTTGATCCATGGTTGTTAGAAACTCTCAAAAGTAGCAGAATGATACTTAGAAAGTAGCAACTATCCAAATGTATTGACCTCAAAATAATTTGACTACATGTAAGTCTTGTTATTCAAAATAATGGAAATAACAGACACAGGAAGCTTAACTAAAATGATCTGATGTTTGTTTTACATGACTCTCATTACATGTACAAAGGCAATGTGCTACTTTGTTAGCTGTGAGATAAATTATTTTTGACAAGATTTATGCCTTTCTGCTCTCTATACAGTGCGTATTGAAAAAATTTCCAGTTATGGCCATCCAAAAGTACATGTAGCTCTAGGAAAGGGTTGTTAGAGTGGTTTTAAATTGACTGTCGAAAGTAATCAGGCAATTACTTTGGTTTTGGTTTTACTATGGTTTGAGACTGGCTGAGTAGTCTTATTGGTAAGTAATTGGTTTGGGTTTGGTTTTGCGACACTCATTGAAAACCACTCTTTATTTATTCTCTAAATCCAAATGCAAGGAGGGTTGTTACTTTCAGAGCTTTATGGTATGTCACTATTACAAGTCAGTTTAAATTTGAAATTTTATGTTATGGAGGGCTGGATAGAACAAGCTTATGATAGTGCCCTCTGTTTTGTGAAGATACTTGTGGCTGCAGATTGCTAAATATGTTAATTGCTGTTTGTTTTTTCTCACAGAGGAAAGAAGTTTTTTATTCCATCAGTATGTTTTGCACTTCACACAACGTTGGCCCTTCAAGCTCTTGATTATTTAAGCATACCAATGTATGTATACTGTTTTTAAAGTAAAAACAATTATATGGTGTATGTTAAAGTGTGCTAGAAACTGAAATCAGTTATACTGTCTATGGAACCATCCTTGCCTGGACAGCTTGTTCTAGAAAGGAAGTAGAATCTTGTATCCTAGTGGTACTTAAAACAAGCATTTTAGAAACATGGGCATACAAAGTTTGCTATGAGTTCGACTTAAGCCAGCAATAATGTTATAAAGCAGTGTGTTGAAAAGAAAATCTCTAAAAGGTGGGTGTCCTCTTGAGGCAGAGACACCTGCATGTATCTCTTAAAGATAAAAGCCTGATTTGGACAGTCACATGATTTTCAGGTCAGGTTAGATCACCATTTCTTTAAGTGTATAATTACACTGTACATACTTAACTCTAGAATGAATATTTAGTCTCTCGATCTGGTTCCTAAGGCATTCTTTCATGTTAATTGGACTTTATCTTCAGNTTTTAATGTATTCTTTCATGTTTTTTGTTCTTTTTCTTTAGGCATTCTTTCATGTTAATTGGACTTTATCTTCATCTACTGTCGTGCTTGTAGTGATGCATGCAAATGTACATGTATTTATGTTTAAATCTATTTGTATTAGTCTGTGCAGATGCATGGCTGGTTTTCAAATGCTGCAATTTTTCACCCATAATGTTTACTTGCAGTTTTCAAAATTGACCCTCTAGAGGAACAACTTTTGGGCCTCTCTTATTCCTCTCTGACTGGTGCCCCATCTGGACAGCCACCTTCTTTAAATCTAAATTCTGACAACACCAGTTTCGTTTTTCTACAGAATCTGAGCATTAATGTTATGTAAAATGCATTGTTTTCAGGTACAATGTCTTAAGAAGACTGCTCCCTTTGACAAGTTTGCTGTTTGCTTGTTGTATGTTAAAAAAGAAACCTTCACTGCTGGTTGTCATTGCTGTCATGCTAGTTGTGGTTGGTTGTATTACTGCAGGTGTGCATTATTAACTGTATTTATTTATTAATTTCTTAATAGTTTTTTTTATTTGCTCAAACAATTACAACAATTACAGTTAAACTTACACTACAGTAACTAAAAACAGTCCACAGAGTATGTATCTACGCCTTACAATCTATCTTAATAGTTAGTATTGATCAATTGATGACATCAATATTTCATAAAATTAATACTGTAAACTGCCCCCCATAATCTCTGGGCCTATACAACTTCGTAAGGGGTTTTAGATGGGCTTAAAAACGGAGGGGCTTATATTCCAGGGATCTTATACTGGTAAGTAAGCTTTAACACATCATAATAAAATGNGGGGGGGGGGGGGGGGGGGGGGGGGGTATATCTGGGGGCTTATAAACCCATTTTCAATCACTGGTTTTTAATTAAAACTTAATTAAAAATTTATCATAAAACATCATAATAAATCAAATTCCTTTCAGTGTAAACTACAGTAGTAGTACCTTAACATTGTATATCTGGGCAGCTTATAATCAGAAGTAATATTTTGTTTACAGGTAGATGGGCCTATAATTTGGGAGGGGATTATACGCAGGGGGGCTTACAAGTGGGAGGGCTTGTAAGTGGCAGTTTACAGTGACTTTCTGTACATGTTGATGACGCAATAATTGTTTGAATGGTTGAGTTTTTTCCCAATAAAACAACAGAAATATACTTTGGCAAATTCCAACATAGACTCAGGTTTATTATATACGGGTTGAAAAAATGATTAATAGCAAAATTTCCCCCAAACCAGTATAATAACACATGTACACAGGCCGTTAAAGGGAATTTGTGTTTTTATATATCTGTTTACAGGTTTTGGAGATCTGGAGTTTTCAATATATGCCTACATCTCTGCATTGGCTAGTGTTGTTTGCCAGTCGTTCTATCTCACATACATCCAAAAGTCTGGCGTGGAAGAGGGGCTGTCGACTGTGACTGTGCTTTTCACAAACAGTGTCAACTGCGTCCCTCTTTTACTTATTTACACATTATGCAACAAGGAGCTGTTTTCTGCTCTCGCATTTGATGGACTGAGCATGGCTGGCTTTCAGGTTTTTTTTTGTATTTTACATTGTTTTTAATCAACATGTAGAAAAGTAATCTCAGGCCCGAGTTGTTTGAAAGGTGGATAATGCTATCCACCGCATGAACACCAATCAACTGGATAGAGCTATTTATCTGGTGCATAGCGTTATCCAGCCTTCGAACAACTGGGGCCAGACCTGTATGCAACCCCCTCATTTGCCTTCTCACCTGGGGCCTGTTTCTTGAAGGTCTTGAATGTTTTTGCACCCAGAAAGCTGTAGCGAAGTCTCAAACCTTATGATTACAGAGCTGTTTTATTCACATATTCTTAATATGAACAGAGGTTCTCTTCATACAAGAAGTTTTGGGCAGATACACCTCTCTGTTTGTTGATAGAGATTGACTAAAAATGGCTTTGCGGATAAAGCAACAACAGCAAAAAAGGAAAAAAAAAGGCAAATTTAGTTCATCAGTTCATGCTCACAAATATTTTTTTTTGCTAGTTCCCAGCTCTTACTCATGCTTTGTTCAGTAGTTTTTTTGAGTTCACTGCCCTTCTATCTCTGGAAAGGTGTGAAAAGCATCATGAATGTGATGAATAGCGAGAGGCTGTGTTTTACCACCATGGCATTTCCAAACACCAAGACGAGAGTTCAAATTATGATTAGTATTTGGTGAGCTTTAAAGTGTACATTGTATGGAAATGTCACAGTGGCAAAACATTGTTTTGAGTGTTTATCTTGCAATCAAAACGAAAACTTGACAGAAAATGGCAAGATTAAGTCATAAAATCTGTGCTTATTAAGATTAGATAATCATGGAAGTCCAATTAGTCATGGTCATAATTTCCTTGTTTTATCTCCATGAATTAGTATCAAGTTTAGAAGTGGAGTTCATGTTGACCCACTCTAAATTTGTCTCAACTTTGGCTATCCCAGAATGTTCTGGGTTCCTCCACATACTTTAACCAACTGACCCATTTTCAGTTGCTCATCAGTTGAATGTCTTATTTGGAATTGCTTTTTGCAGCCATAGTTTTGCATCATTGAGCTTGGTAATAATTTTTGGTTTAAAACTGTAATGGCTAACTAATTTTGGCCAGGCCAATAACTTGACTTTAACTATTCAGGTAAAAAGAAAGTTAATTTGAAACTCTAGCATATAGATGGTGAAGAATACAAGTGAAGAAAGATCATGTTTTTGAACCATTTCTTTATACCATCTATTGGTATATTATGAATTCACAAAGTGACCAGCTCCCAGGTGGCTTGATAGCTCAGTTGGTAGAGCACTGTGCTGGTATCGCAGGTCATGGGTTTGAATCCCGTTCAGGCCTGAATGTTTTTTCAGGCTTAAATTTCACAACTGCTTTAATAAGTTGTGTGTATAACTGTGATGATCAATCATGTCGTCAAAACCCTTCCTGCCAGTTAATTTTCTATCAATTCTTCACATTGACGGTGCTTGCTGTGATTTGATATTGTAATTGCTTTGGTGTTAAGGGACTAAATGCAAACCGCTTTAAGATTTAATAAACCAGATTCAAGAAAGTTTGTGCTTTGAAATAACTTTGTTAATAATAATAATAATAATAATAATAATAATAATAATAATAATAATAATAATAATAATAATAATAATAATAATAATAATAATAATAATAATAATAATAATAATGGTTTATTTTGTCTATTACCAGGCTGCAATTGTTTTTGATGTCAGCATGGGCTGTATCTTGAGTTATTCTCTATTTTTATGCACAACAATGAATTCTGCATTGACAACAAGGTACGTTGAACCTTACATTATAAGAACTTGTCATCTTTTTGTATAATAATTGAATTATGTTCTGACTATAAAATCTAAAGGGAATGTTTGTGGAGTAACAGTCTTGCTCCAAATCACAGATTAGTGTTTGTGTTAAATTGTTTCAGCGATTTAAATTATTTGTACAAAGCTTGATATGAAATATGATGTCATTGCAAGGTTTGGCATTTTCAAAATACAGCATTGCATGAATCTAGTGATATGAATAATAATTCATATTCTAGATAAATATGTACAGTTTCAGCAAGAAATCATCTTCTGTAGACTACTTATTGAGATATCTGACCATGTAATGACAGTGCAAAGTACCATAAAGTATGTTGTAAGCATGGCAACACCCAGGTGATTTAACTGAAAACCGAACACATTTTTTTAAGGGTTAATTGGGTCTCAACAATCTTGTACATAATTATGTAAAAAAAAGAAACTACCATAAGGGAAAAAAAAGAATACTAAATGAAAGAAAAGGTGTAATACCCAAAGGGACAAGCACAAACTAGACCAAAGGACCCATGCAAGGTGCTGCTCAGGTAGAAAATGTAGTTAAAAAAGCTAAAAATTACACAATGATATCAGCATATCTGAACATTACTTAAGATTAGTTAAAGAGTAACATTAGGTATGCATTGGAACTTAAACAGCTTTTCAGTCAAAATTCCTTTCAAGTCTGTCTTTTGAAATGGAAATGTTACATATCTTCCTTAAAAAGCAAACCTCATCTTTTTTTTCTAGCCTTGTTGGAGTTGTCAAAGGTGTTTTAACAACCATCATTGGGTTTTATACATTTGGTGGCGTAGCAGTGACAGCTCTCACCGTACTTGGGGTACTCCTCAACACCCTAGGAGGGGCGTTATACAGCTACGCTAAATATACAGAAAACATGGCGAAAGGAATTCAGAAGCACTTCCACAAACACACGATTAAAGTGAACCCTGCAATGGACTCTACGGAAACGAAAAAGAATGGAATGGTTGATCACAATCACAAGATTAAAAATGGTATTGTGCCTGATGCGGTGATCACAGTGAATAAAAATGAGGATGTGGTGGTGGATTTTGAGAACAGAAGAGCTAGCACAGATGGAAGTTTAAGTTCTTCAGATTCTAGTGTAGGATGACTGACAGTTTAACCTTAATGTCATAAGTCTTGTCAGCAATCTTGAGTTGTTATTTTGCCTTTCAATGCAAATAAATTGTCTGACAGACAGGTAATAAGGGACCATTCACAGCCACTCTGTTTCTCTCAATGTGTAAATAATGCCAAAAGGAGAAACTGTAAGTGAAGCATGCTCATAACATGAGCTGGTGGGTGTGGAAGGCATAGTGGAAGAGAAAAATGAGAAACGGTTTTTCTTCGTCCTCATATGTTCCTCACTCCACTTGCTCTCTGCACTCCAGCTTATTTCCAGTTCCCTTGCATTTCTCTTTGGACATTCAACAAATCTGAGAAAATGGAGGGACTGCAAATAACTTGAAATTAAGAGTCATTAATATCATCAACTTTGTGATAAAGTTTGACTTGAAATTAAGAGTGATTAATATCATCAACTGCGCGATAAAATTTGACCTGATATAGCGTGAGTTGTGAATGGTCCTTGTATTACACCCCGTCTCCAGGAAAGTGTGTTTTAACTGTCATTATTCAAAATTTTATTGATTAACTTTTTGAATTGATTTTTAATTCAAGAAGACTAATGTGTTGTTCCAGAAAATGCCATACCCCCACAAAAGGTTTTTTTGTGCTGGACCCCCCCTCCCCATTCTTAACTGCAACAAGTTTGCATATGAGACCCCTAGCCCTCTCAGTATTTGTGTAAGGGGTGGGTATGGATTTTTCTGGAGATGCACAATGTGAAAGGAAAATCATATTTTCTCCTGATATGAAATATTTATAGACTAATTGATGACGGAAAATGCTATGGTTGGTCAATCTTTCTGTTACTGAAGAAGTGATAGGCAAGCATCTACAAATGAAAAATAAAATATCTATTATATCTAGTGTATCTACTTTATCCATACTTATTATTGTCACTTTGTGGCTCCATTTCTGACTAAGAAATGGAAAATCCTTTGAAACCAGCTTAGTCACTAGGCAATTACGATATAATAATATTGTCCCTGTAAACTACATGTCAATTTTAGTCAAATCATTGAATACTTAGAAAATATTTATCACATGGAATTTGTGGCTCCTGTCCAGAACATGTTCTGGACAAGTCTGGAGGGATGGAGTGAGGGTTACATAAAATGGAAATTCTGGGGAGGTGGGGGATCTTATGTGAGATTCCGTCCATGGTGAGGGTATGGATATTTTGTGGAACTACACAAGTGCAAATAAACACTTGAATGTACGATCAGTACTCAGCTGATTGGAAATTACACTATATAATTTTGTAGTCACTTTTGTATAGTGTTAAAAGACATACCTATAACTTTACATTACATTTTGTTAGTATTATTTTCAAAGAGATTGAAATACAGCCGCTTTGTGGAAACCTAACCTAGGAACTCTTAAGAAACTTTGGGAGGCCACAGAGGCATTCTGGTTTATTTAAAATGTGGGATTCTTCCCAGAAGACATTCTCTTGTTTGCATTAGGTTGTATAAAATCTTCTTCCATGTTGTTTGTTATAGTACAAACTGGAAACTTAGAAATAACAAAGTGTAGTGTTTAAAATAACTTTTGGACAGACTATAGTGTATAGAATATAGAGAACAATATTTAAGTACTGAATGTAATGACTACTTGACTGTTCATTCTTGGCATATGGTATACATTTTCTTAAATTTTGTCAAGTTATGTCATACACGATAATTTAAAGTGAATATTCTTTTATCACTGGCCCTTGTTTAGAGATGAGAATTGTATTTAATAATATCACTTTGGCAGTGGTGGATCTAGGGGAGCGGCCCAGGGGCCCCCACCCCCCCATTTTGGGTAAAAAAAGAAAAAAGGCACAGAAGGAGGAAAAGCTGGCAGGGCAAACAAAACAAAACCGTCCCCCACCCCCTTAGCTCAAGGTCTAGATCCGCCACTGTTTGGAACAGGTGTATATTACTGAAGCAAATTAGTTTCCACATTTCAGGAAGAAATGCTTGTCAATTAACCCAAAGAGCTTCCTCAAATATGAAATTGTTTAATTTTAAATGACAAATAGTTTATCAAACCTGCACACATCACCCGTCGTTATATAACCACAAGGAGACTTCCTTATTCAAGTGAATAGAAGTGTCACTGTTCTGTCAGTAGACCATATTCATATTCTCAGTATTAGACTGGAATTACCTTGCAATGGACGCTCAGCTTGGGGAATATCATCAAAAAGAGAAAAATTATATCTGGATTTGAAAAGACTCCTGGGAGGCGTGGTGGCCTCATGGTTAGTGCGTTCGTCTCCGGATCGAGCGGTCCGGGTTTGAGCCCTGGCCGGGGACATTGTGTTGTGTTCTTGGGTAAGACACTTTACTCTCACAGTGCCTCTCTCCACCCGGGTGTATTAAATGGGTACCGNGGGGAGTAGAAATACTCCTAGTCGCTTCATGCTACAGAAACTGGGATAAGCTCCGGCCTGATGGGCCACTTGGCTCGCATGCAGACTTTACCTACCTCACCTTATTTGAAAAGACTCCCCACATAAGCCTCAGTTGCAAGCTAGTTCAGTCCAATACCAAGAGTATGAATGTCGTCCATTCTTGGGGACCAATAGTAGGGGCATTTTTTAAATTTAAGTCAAATGTCAATGAAAATTATCAGTTAAGTTCATGGGGCAGTGACATTCTCCCAGGGACACTATAAAAAAAATGTTGGCAGATTGGGATATTTTCTTTTTTCATCTCAGGGTTTTGTAATGTAAGGGTTTAATATGGATAT